ACGCTTCTGGCTTCAAACGCCACGTCATCTCTATCCACACCAAGGACTACCCCCACCGCTGCGACTACTGCACCAAGGGCTTTAGGAGGCCTTCAGAGAAGAGCCAGCACATAGCCAGGCATCACAAAGACATGTTGATGTAATGTCATTGCACACAAACACACTCCTCTTTACCGAGTAAATCTGTGTCACACACACCCAGAGGTAATTTTAGTGTATTAACAAAGAAATAATGGATGCAGGCAGTTGATGAAGAAAACAACATTATAATTGCTGTTCTGTGTTCTGTGTCGTTTTGGGTCTAAACCTCCTGCCCCCAGGAGTAAATGCAAGAACACGTCTTAGGATGGGGGTTAAATCTGGAAAAAAAACAAAAAAAAAGACAGTGTGTACACTGAGCGGGACAGTTGTAAATTGTCTTCGGTGGCAGAAAAAAATCACATATGAACATATATTCAGGGTTTCAAATGTCTATATTTTTATACCCACTCAGCTGAAATGCTGCAAGATGATGACTGTGTCTAGTAAAACAGAAAAGAGGTGTTTTGGGGACGTCATGCTAGTTCTCCAGACGATGTGGAACGACTACATGAGAAGTTTGCCTCCATAGTACCAACTAGTATCTTGACCTCATGAACCAGCTTTTACCCTGACATTTTTTTGTTTTTTTCTTTTCTAATGCTATCTGGTCTTTAATGAACAGAGCCATTCACAAGTTCAAAATAGGTTCGTCACTGATGTTGAGACATAATGCATCTTGAAAAATATGTTTCATTAAATTTAACCGTTAAACTCACATCATTTTGGATTTTCCTCTCAACCCTGAACTCTTGGAGCCCCATTAAACGAATCGTGTATAAAACAGTATAGACTATTTTCAGTTAAATACGTCTTACAAGTTGAATCAGAAATGCTACTCTCTGGTCAGCAGAGTCTAGCATGGAGCAGAAGGGTGGAGTTGGTATGTTAGAATATCCCTTTAGTGTACACATCTCTGACTGGTGTATTATTATTATAATTATATATGACATTGACAGATGGTTGGCTTCACATATAATAACCAGTGACGTGGTTGCGTGTGAATGCCACTGTAAGTACGTGTGATGTTACCTATGACACAGATAACCATTTGATAGCAATCATGCCTTACATCCGTTAGTCTTTATCCTTTAAGCACTGATGCACACCGCTAATCAGAAAATAAGTGATTTTTAACTCTCAAACATGCTGTATCAATGCCATTCTCTCAGAGATTATGTGTTTGAGTCAGTAGAAAGCACTTTAATAATTTTGTTTTTGTATTTTAATGACATGTATGAGAGTTTATTATCTGGGGATATGTATAGATAAATAGATAGAAATATCCCAAGATATTAAACACGTACAGAGCTTTGTGAGTGGGTAAAGGTAAAGATTGTTTTTGAGTGTTATCTCTAATGAGCAGCGATCATTACTGCATCACAACTGAATTGTCATTGAAAGTGGTGGGTGAAATCGCTTATTGTTTTGTTCTATGGATAAGTGATTGGGTTTTGTGTTTTTGTTTGTGCTCACTAACAAGTTTCCCAGACACTAGCCCTACAATCCCAAATAGCCCGACCCAGTCCCAAGCACGGGATTATTTCCTTCAAGTCATTGCTCATCATATTGGCATTAGTCTTTAAAGTATGCACATATGCTGTCTCCATGAAATTAATTGTGGTATATATTAAAAAAAAATCCCTGCATTTCGTGTACCTTAGTCTATATTTTCTTTCAGTCTGATTGTGGATAAACTACTGGTGGGGAAGAACCAAAATAAACAATTATCTTTTTACCCTTTTTGTCCTTTCTGTCTAAAAAGAAGGAAATGTTAAAAGCTAACAGGGAAATTTACACATAGCTACTGTATTACCAGTAAATCAGTCAGGCTTTTCCTTATTTTCCACGTCAGTGCTTCACCTAGTCTGCGTCTTGCATCCTCGTTTCTCATTAAGATTTTAATACTCAACTTACTGCCAGGAGTACATGAAGGATTGGCGTTATAACTCGCTATTTACCCAGTTTGCATCAGTCTATGTCTTTATAGGACCTAATGATTATCTGTAGTTGTAGCTGTCTCTTTATCAGTTTCATGTACATAGTGCATTTTCAGTGATTGTACAACCATCAGGCATTAATAGATGATGAAATATGGAGTAAGCTTCAGCAACTCAGGTCTAGAGATTGATTGCTAAAGAGAATTCAAACTTTCTCTGCTTCACAAGCTCATCATCCCACATAATTGTGCTTAAATGTAGGATTTACTGTGAGAAGGCAGAGCAGCACCACACTCTCCCAGAATGTATATTTTTCCACTTGTGTCAGCACAGAGAAGCTGAAGAGAAACCTGAGCTCCCTTTGGCCAGGCTGCTTTATTTAGTTGTTGTTTTTTTTAACTACTACGTCGGGATCCTGCAACTTCAAGAGCCTCTTTAACTTGGCAAGTAGATCTGATACATACTGTACAAGCTGAGATGCTTCAAAGAGCGATCATAGCCTTGTTGGCTTTGTGCAAGGCTGAGACAACAGTGTGGGGAAAACTACCCAGCGCAGTTGCACAATCCTCAAACATGAGGTGAATCTGAAATAGTCTTCCCCAGCAGGATAGAACCACAGAAGCGAATTTTAGCTTGTTTTATGAACTCGTCGCCTAACAGTCTGCTTATATCTACATCATGTGTGGGTCACAAAACAGGTTTTGTGCGCTGAAATAAAAAAACAAAACTAATGGTCCTAGTGCAGTTTTATTATTACAGCAATTTACTGTTATTATAAGTGCCTGAAAGTTAGACGGACTGTAATAGTCTAATTTTTCAAAGAAGCTTTCTTGTCATAATAGAAATAAAAGGTTTAAGAGTGAGCCTATGTGCACAACAGCGAGGCCTTGAACCTAAAACAGCTACATTGAATTCACCCACCATTAATGTCATTACATTGTTGCTTTTCCCATTGTGGTGCTCCCAAAAGGGTATATTGTTTGCAAGTTGCTTGCAGAGCTACCTGAAAGCAGGACTGATGAAAAGAAAAACCCCTCCACTGTGGATCAAACACCACATGCAGTCACTGGCCACTTTATTATGTACACATTCCTTGCACTGGGTTAAATTTACATTTAGAGTTGCTTTAATTCTTTTTGGCATGGATTCCCTAATATTTTGGTCCATACTGACACGTGTCAATGTGAATCTCCTGTTCCACCACATGCCATATGAGCTCTGTTGGATTGATTTAGTGACTGTGGAGGCCGTTCGACTACATTGAACTCATTGTTGTGTTCAAGAAACCAGTTTGAGATGATTTGAGTTTTGTGACATGGTTAACCTGCTAAAAGCAGCCATCAGATGATGGGTGCACTGTGGTCACAAAGGGATAGACCTGGTCAGCAACAGTACTCAGGCAGGCTGTGGGATATAAATGATGTTCAGCTAGTACTGAGAGCCCAAAGTGTGCGAAAAATATCCATCACACCATTACACCACAACCTTTGATGGCAGTATGGATTCATGCTTTCATGTTGTGATGCTGCCAAATTCTGACCCTACTATCAGACCAGGGAGCGTTTTTCAAATCTTCTGTTGTCCAGTTTTGGGGAGCACATTTGATCTGTAGGTTCAGTTTCCTGTTTTTAGCTGTCAGGAGTGACACAAGCTGTGGTCTTCTACTGCTGCAACTCATCTGGTTTTATGTGTTATAGATTCATAGATGCTCTTTTGCATAACTTAGTTGTTAAGAGTGGTTATTGGAGTTACTCTTGCTCGAAGCAGTTTCGGCAGCAAGCAGCAGGATAGATGCACCTATTCTTCTGCAGGTACCCCTTATTCTCCTGGTTGCTGAATGTAGTTCTTTATACATCCAACTATATCAAAGGATTATGTCTCTTTTTCTTTTTTTTTTCTTTTCTTTTTTTTTTTTTACATTTTTGAGGTCAGAATTAGGAGGATTTGGGAAGGGAAAGATCTGTAATGAATAGTGGTGAATGTTGAACCACATTCATCAAAGACATTAATATTTAAGTGAGAAGATTTCATTTGTTTTGGGAGAGAAAGGGGAAACCGCCTCATTTGAAATTTTTTTTTACTAAACTATCCACTAAAAGAGGGAAAAGGAGCGACTCAGGAACAAACTGATTCAATAAAAAAGTTTGGGAAGGTTGTGCGAGGGTGGCTGAAGGGAGTTGACTTTCCTGATTAAATATCCACTTTGATTTAATTATAGTGTTGTGTAGCTATCAGAGTGATTGCTGTCAGCCCTGAGTCATTATTCACTGGTCTCATTATTAAGCAAACAAAAGCATCTTCAGGCTTCATGGAGTACCACAGACGATTTACTTGCTTAGCTGAACGATAACGTTTATTAATACATAAAAAATCTCTGTGACGTGTTTTGAACACATATCCCCTGTCGTGAAGGATCGATGATGCTTCTTAGTGAGGGAAATGAGGGTACGCCGCCACAACAAACACCTAAGCGAAATGGATGCAACAGCTTGACCATTTTGGTGAAATCCACAAAATATCTCATAAATCACTCACAGGTGCGGCTGTCAGCTGAAACTGCTGAGGATGCAGAGATCAATATGCAGACAAATCCTCCCTGAGTTAACTGTTCTTTTGTCACGGCATCACATCGTCTGCCAATTCAGCATGAAGAGCCTGTCGAGTTGGGGTTTTTTTTAATTCTGAATTCGTACTTTTTGAGCAACAGTAAGCACATTTTTCCCTTTCCCGCCTAAGTACGCTTATCCTCTGCCTCACTCTCCCATGGGTGTGTGAGCCACTGCTCTGCCCATTTTAAATCAGCGGAGCATCAAACACACGCAGAGTACACCTAACAGCCTCAGACGGCCATCAGTGTTATGAGAATTGACAGACATACACAGATAATCCAACCGTCGCAGAAGGTCAAACTAATTTATTTGATGTAGTCATTTTTGTTCCTAGTTTGTTCCTATGTCTGTTGCATAGATGTGATTGGAATGATGAAATGGGCAGTACAAGGAAGGGGGGGAAAGGTTCTGATTCATGCACAAATACTGTATTTATATTAACAGAGTCATTTTCAGTCACTGGCATGGTTCAGTAGGAGTTAATAACTCCAAATATTTAGATGTGGTTCTGCACTGGAGCGTTTTATGTTGGATATAATTTAGTCTGGACTCCACAGGACTCTGGTGTTAGGCAGCATATTGCTGTTGCATATTTCAGTGAAGATGAACAGCAAATGGAGCCGGGACCGCTCCATCAACTCATTTCATTGGCAGACAGCACTGCCACATTACCTCCATATCCTGTGGTGGCCCACATAACAGGAGTTGTCCAATCCAGACTGTTGCGTGAGGCTGCTGCGCAGAAAGCCAGCTGGAGACCAAAGGCCCTCGGGGAAATTACTGCCAGATTGCTTGGAAAGAGGCAAAATTGGACTGCTTATTTGTCAGTGAAGGGTCTGTGTGGTGGACACAGCCGAAATTGAAAAGACAGGGAGAGAGATTAGGTAGCCTGTTGACTACACGAGTCTGTGCTACCTACTGGCGTCTTTAAACTTTGGTGATTACTCAGTAAGAAATATGTTTAAAAGCTGGGAAGTGCAATTATAATTTCAGATGACATTTTTTTTCTACGTGACTTTAATGATGATGAAGCCCCATAACAGTCTAGTCTGTGCAGTGGGATAATTTCAACATACCAGAAAGCTAAGGGTCAATTCTTTGAATGCAACATTTTCTCACTGGTTCAATAAAAGGAAAGGTTGATCTGGGCTTTTTAATATGGTGTGTTATTCTGCTAGAAGCAGCCATCAGAAGAGCGGTACACTCTGGCCACAAAGGGATGGACATCAGCAGCAATGCTCAGGCAGATTTTGGTTTTTAATTCAATTCAATTCAATTTTATTTATATAGCGCCAAATCACAACAAAAGTTGACTCAAGGCGCTTCAAAATGATGATAAATGATGCTCAGCTGGAGTGCACACAGTGGACCAGTGTGCAGGGAAACATCCCTCACACCATTACCCCACCACCACCACCAGCAGCAGCAGCCTTAAACATTGATGCATGTCAGTATGGATTTGTATTTTCATGTTGTTTAAACCTAATTCTGACCCTTCCATCTGAGTTTGCAAAATTTGAGATTCATCAGAGCAAGCAAGTCTTCTGTTGTCCAATTCTGGTGAGCAACCTATAGCTTCAAGTTTCCTGTTCTTAACTGACAGAAGTGGCACTCAGTGTGGTGCACATGTTCTGTGTTCAGAGATGCTCTTCTGCATACGTTGGTTGCAACACTGTATGTGGAGGAGCTACTTATGGCTTTCTATCAGCTCAAAACAGTCTAGATATTCTCTCTGACATCTGGCCTCAACAAGGCATTCTCACCCAGGGAACAGCTGGATACTATCTCAGAGTTTTGAAACCTGCAAAATGCACTTGTGATATTGTATAGATGCATGCCTTTACACTATAAAATAGATGATTCAGTAAATACCACATCTATTTGTGACCATGCACTCTGTGTCTTACTTTAGTAAAACCCTGTGTGATATGGGCTGCTGGTGGGTTCTAGTTTCAGTTTCATAGCCGTGCAAGCCGCATGGTCACATCACAGTAACTCAGATCTCAGCTGAGCACAGAGAAGCTTTCCACCTTGCAGAAGAGCAACAGTGAGCCAAACTGTGCTTGTAAATCATTGTGCACAGCGAGGTTCAAATGTGCAGATTTCTGAGTGAAAAGGTATTTAGACTACAGCGCACTATCTCCAATAACAACCCTTTATATCTTTATAATCAGAATTTAAGTTGTTATCAGTGTTTAGGGAAACTGTTTCTTTTAGAGTGCTCACTAGATGTCGCTGTTATCCCACCCCTCTCGCGCAAAGTGACCACACTGATCACTGCGAGCGGTGCCAAAAATTATGGCATCAAACAATATAAGAATTTTCTAAGAAAGCGGGAGGGTTTGAATGTGACCCTGGCAAATATAAGGTTCGGGCAGTGGTGCAGTTTGGCGTTTAGATGGCTGTTTAGTCAGGTCTAGCTCACTGATAAAAACCGACCCATTAATAGACCATTATAGGACAATCATAACCGCGACTCCACTGGGAGAATCACGGAAAGGTGCTGTCGGCTTGTTCTTGGAAGACTGGGTGTTTTTGAGCTGAATCACGGCAGAGGCGCGTCACCGTGGGGCGTGGTTAAGCGTAAGAGATAAACGCCGTGTCCACCGTTACGATGCAGTTAAGTTACAGTTTGGCACGAGACGACACCGGAGCGGAGAGTCTGAGCAGCTAACTAGCGCGCGTAAAGGGATGGAGACGAATGAGATCTTTTTAATAACTGTCATAGCCTCTCACTACATTTGGAACTTCGTCTTCTTCGCGTGGATTTTAACAACAATAGAACCTTTAGAGCCGGACTGCTATAAAACGCATTGTTGAAGTTCTGATCCTGTTTGCGCCAGGACACCCAAACGAGATTAGACGAAGAGAAGTCGTAATGAGTAGTTGTGCAAATGGTGCATTTTCTGACCAGAGAGCTGGTACGGAAAGCAGAATTTCATGCTCAAGCTACACGTCTACCTGCGCGTAAAGGACATGGACACAACGGCTCCAGTCACCGCTTCCTGAATCCCTGCGCTATGTTATAGTAAGTAAATGAAAAAGCTGTAGTTAGATTAGAAGCAGTGTGGCAGCTTAAAGCATTTATGCGAGCTTTTTTTCTTATTTTTACGCGCTGACAAATAGTGCAGCGTTCCAATAGCACAGGACCTGAAATTTGGCAGCCAAGCAGCCCACACCATTGACCGTGAAAGGCTTGGAAACAGTTCCAGTGCTGATCCCGATTTGAACTATAACTAAAACAAGTTAAAACAAGTAAAACAAAGTTGCATCTAAGTGGACGAGCGTGGCAGGAGGCGAACATGGCTTTGCCAGATAGTGGCATATCTGCAGAGGAGATACCCTTTCCAGAGATCATAGAGCTCAATGTCGGTGGGCAGGTGTACATAACCCGCTACTCTACACTCACAAGCGTGCCAGACTCTCTGCTGTGGGAGATGTTTACTCAAAAGTCAGCCAAAGGACTGGCCAGGGACACAAAGGGGCGCTTCTTTGTAGACCGTGATGGTTTCCTGTTTCGTTACATCCTGGACTACATGCGTGACCAGCAGCTGGTCCTTCCAGACCACTTCCCAGAGCGCGGTCGTTTGCAGAGAGAGGCTGAGTTCTTCAACCTGCCAGAGCTCGTCAGGCTTCTGGCACCCAAAATCAGCAAACAGAACTCCCTTGGTGATGAGGGATGTCCTAGTGACACAGAGGACTCCTCACCTGGGACTGACACCTCCCGTAACCTCGGCTCTCTGGGTGCTGCTGCTGCTGCCTGTGCCAGCCTGGTGCCCGGCGCCATGGATGGCAAACGTTCTGGGTTCATCACTATTGGCTACCGAGGCTCCTACACCTTGGGGCGCGACAGCCACACGGATGCCAAATTTCGCCGAGTGGCACGGATCATGGTGTGTGGGAAGACCTCCCTGGCTAAAGAGGTGTTTGGGGAAACGCTGAACGAGAGCCGGGACCCGGATCGCCCCCCTGAGCGCTATACATCCCGCTACTATCTCAAGTTCACCTTCCTGGAGCAGGCTTTTGACAAGCTGGCAGATGCAGGCTTTCACATGGTGGCCTGCAATTCCACAGGAACCTGCGCCTTTGCCCACGAGCAGACGGACGACAAGATCTGGACCAGCTACACTGAATATGTGTTCTACCGTGAGTGAGACTATCGGCTTTGTTTCCCCGGTCCCCTCACCCTGTATCCAAGAACCCCCCTCCCCCTCCAGCCTCCAGCCATCCTGTCTTTCTCTCTCTGATGGCTTCTGAACCAGTAGATGTACTGTAGATGTTGTGCCCTTCCATCTCTCTTTACAGCCTCCAGCTTTTATCCTGTGAACAGTACCTGGCCGCTGCTCTGACTCTTCATACCTTCTCTGCAGATCGAACCTGCAGCCTTCCCCTTCAAACCCGAATTCACCCTCCCCCACCCCCATCATCAGGCCAAGCTTTTGCCCTTGCTTAAGCCGCCGCCTCTCCATCTAGTTGTAGTCCCCAGCCCTGAACCACAGCAACCCCACAGCCTTTCCTGCAGAGACTGATACCTTCTATTCCCTTTTTGTACTCTCTATATAGTGCATATGCCTTGGTTAAAGCACAATACTGTATCCAAGAGCTAATTTTGTTGAATAAAAAACACCAGTGTGTCTATATGACTACTGAACCAGTCATAAGGGCATAAGGGAAAGGGCTTCAAAGAGTTGCCGTGATGTACAGTGCTATATTTTGCCTGCTTACTCAAGCAGATCGGACTGTCTCCTGCTCCTTTGAACTAAATTACCAAATAATTGGACATCTTATCAGCCTTGAGGGACGTGAGAAACCCCAACACATGCACACACACACACACACATGCACACAAAGGAAGTGTAATCTAATTTCCTTTAGTTTTTATTAAATGTGTCCAGTACCATGTCCGTGTGGTTTGGGAACGTGCCATAGTTAATCTGTTCTGCTGCTTTGGAGTGAATAGAAAAGAAAAGACTGCAGTGAAGTTATTTTTTCAGAAAAAGCAGATTGAAGTTTTGCGGAGGTCTCCCCCCCCACCCCCCCCCACCCAAAAAAAAAGAAAGAAAGAAAGAAAGAAAATGGGTTGTGTGGCAAATGTTGAAAAACTATTAAAGCTCAAATATCAAGAGATCTTAGAGACAGACAATGAGAGAGGGGGAAAAAGGTGTGTGTATTGACTGTGCAGTGGAGCTTTCAGTATTTTAATCACCCACACTGATAGGGCAGAGAAGATGGAAGGTGTTGCATCAATTACATCTTAAAGATAATTATTTTCCACAGCCGGTCACATGTCAGAATGGGCTTACACATTGCTTCCTGTTATTTGCGTAAGAAGAAATCAGCAGTCATCACAGCAGATCTTTGGATGTCCCGTAATCAACAATGTTATTCTTAATACTCAGTATTAGCTGAAGCGGCTGCGTATTTGACTATAGCTCAGTCCTTCTGTAAGTGAATACCAGTGAGAAAGGGTAGGATTTGCTGTAGCCAGCCAAAGCCCAGTGTTTTCTCACCACTGTAGCAATGGCAGCTTATAGCGAGCGCGTGTAACTTTCAGTAACTCACAGCCGGCTCAAAAAGGAGCACAAGATCCAGATACAGCCTCAGGACGGGTCTGCACATCATATACCTCAGACTAACATAAACGTGGGACACTTAAATCCAACAAAGGATTCATCAGATTACAGGAAAATGCAGAAATGGCTCAAAATGAGGACAAATAAGAGGTTTCATTTAAAACTGTTCGGGGAACAGGCAGCGCAAGGCAAAGTTCACCCGTGCGGCAAGGTGTCGACTTTTTAGTGTGTCTGACAGTTGTAATAAATGTATTCTGAAATGTCTAGAAATTGCAATATTGTGTTTCAGTGTGATGAAGTGTTGTTGACATCCGAGTCAGTCTGTTAGACCCTGCTGCAGTGTGTCGCTGCAGGCATAGACAACACTGATATTAAAAGTGTTCCACCAAACGCAAATTGATTTGTCAAATAAAATATGCTTTCTTTCTATCCTGCTTGTATTTCCATTCCTAACCCCCCAAAAGGGGGGTTATTTCTTTTTTTCTTTTTTTCTTTTTGAATACCAGGGAGCACAAAGTATGATGAAAATAGCACATTCCCATTACCGCAGTTTCACATTTTAATTTTCGGTGACAATGCAAGTCAATCACAAGTAAAGCCGTTCAAATTTTCATCTCAGCGTTTCCCATCAGAGGAAATGTCCTTGGACACAAACTCTCCTCCGTATGAAATTTTCAGCCCTCAGGCACCATGTCCTCCATCCTTCCATCTGCTTTTCCACTTTTTTTTTTACCCTCTTTTTTTCTCTTCAGCCTGGACTTGCGTGAAGCATTTGACCAAAAAATCTGAGCCAGGATAGAAACGAGGACATGCACAGATAACAGGCCTTGTCCAAGCAGATTAGAAAACCCTTATTTTGTTGCCAATAATTGACCTAATTTCTGTGTGCAGTCAAAATCTTAAAGATTGAATCTAAATTTCAGGACTCCGTAGTATTTACAACCTCCCGCAGAGCAACAGTTTATCCATTTCTGAGAGACCAGAAATCATTTTTGTGTGTCATCAATAAAAAACAACAGCAAAATACAATAGAAGTACAAAGTATTGTCATTGAGGGCAAAGGTGTCATAATTTACACTCGAACAACAACCAGACTTAAGGGTTATGTGAGGCAGTCACGTGTCTTTTTATAAACTCTGTCTCAGAAGTTCTCTACCGAGCGATTATCTCATGCTAATTATCTTAGTATAAGACCTCTAAACCTGATCTCACTCTGGCCTTGATAAAAGCATAGCTAATGAGCTTCACAAAACTTTGTGAAAAATTTATGTTGCTCTCTAATTCAGGGAGAAAAAAAATGATCCCCCCCCCCGCGCTCTGGAATGCATGACAAATCCTCAGAGACCAGGACAATACTGTGCCTGCAGTGTCTCTCCAGCCCAAATAAACACAGTCACAGGCAGCATTCCTCTGTCACTGTCCTCCGGCGGACTACAGCAACACGGGAATGCCAAGGTCAGTCATTAGCGCAAACATGGAGAAACATGCCTTCGTGTGAAATTTCAGGCACTGGCCTCCTTAACCTCTCCTCCTCTCGTCAGCGCAAATTCCTTGAGATTCAACAGCAGCAGCGAGATGCGTGGAAACGTTGACATTCAGACGCTGACATTCAGAGCATCCACAGGCCAGACGAAATGTGCGCGCTGAAATTCAGTGGTGTTTTTTTTCTTTTTTTTTTAAAATGTGTCTTGTGAAACACGTGGTTGAAAAGTGTAGCATTGTCTGCTCGTGTGCTTGCAAAGGCAGCAGGTTCTCACTGTGTTGCCACGGTATGCCTATTCATATTCAGAGTCTCACATTAAAATCTCAGGGTTTGATTTGTTTTCTTTTGCTGTTTTGGGGGGGGGGGGGGGGGGGGGGGGTTGGAGACGCAGCAGATTGCCAAATTTCAGCTTGTCACACAACAAATTATCAAATGAAATCAATCATTTGTTGTTTCAAGCGCAGATTTTCACATTTATGAGGACTCATTTGTCACTAGAGTCGAAGGATTCGAGAATGAGTGCGGGACTGGCTTCTCTGCGTGCCTTCAGGCAGTGATTTGACCCAAGCTTTTGCTACTGTAGGCTGCTCTACATGACAACATGCTTTGGCCCTGTCTCTTTTCCCTCTCTGAGGATGATCCTTGTCTCGGAGCCAGCTGGGTCATTGCATTCTCTATTTGGAAAAAGAGGGGAAGAAGGCAGAAGAGAACAGGAACAGATGCACGTCAAAGGAAATGGGGATTGGAAAATGGGGCACAGAGAGATAGATATTTGGGAGACTGCGGAGGTATTTATTTGACAAGGATTCGGTGTTCCCATCTGATCTCTCTTCCTGTTATTTGGAGAAGGGGAGGACTGTGCTGTAAGATGCTCCTCTGCGGCCTGTCAGCTCCATCAGCACCCCCAAAGAGATTCAGTCACACTGCACCCAAGGGATACACTGCAGAATCAAGAGCGCACTCAGAATAGTTGCTATCACTATCAATCTGTAGCATTAAACCAACACAAATGGGGGGTTGTTGATCTTTACCATATGGAAGAAACAGTATTTTTTATCATCTGTTTGTGATTCATGAACTTCACCATTAAGCTGACTAAACTTAGCCAAGATTCCTAGACTACATCTTTCTTTTTCTTTTTCGGGGAGAGACATATTGCATGTGTGAGAGTGACAAGACAAGGGTGAGTCAATTTCACAGCACCTCAGATGTCTGAAAGCTGCTGTTCCTGTTCATTCTGAGCCTTCAGCTGCAGCCATGTGGCTGTACTTGTTTATGTCTCACTGCCTCGTCTGCTTTTGGATCTGTCTGCCAGGATAATTTGGCTCTTGTTGTTTTGTTTTGTTGCCTTTATGCTTGTGTGGAGTTTTTTTTTTTTTTTTTTTTTTTTTTTTGGATGACAGGTTGGACAGGCCTCCGTTTCGGGTGCGTCAGTGCGACTGAGGTCCACTCCCTCTCACACAAACATGCTGAGCGTGCAGTTGGCATCTCTAAACGCACGCTCACACGAACGCGCGCGCTCGCGGGGAGAGGGAAGTTGCTACGAGAAGATGTGCAACACAACTCCCGTGCTGGGATTTTGATTCTGGGCCGTGAGGTTTTAGATCTAATCGATCTAACTGCCTTGTTTTCACTCTTCTTTGAGAACAGTTTAAAATGCATTAGCAGGCAAATAAGGCATTTACCTCCCTCCTCCTCTCTTGATGGCAATTAAAACAAAGAGAAGAACATGCTCATATAGAACAACATCATTGCTGATAATTACGTTGGAGTAGCACTGACCAACCTGGGCGGGGGGTAGCAGCGGCCTGAGGTGCACCGCTGTGTTCTCCATCAAAATGTCTGTGTGTGTGTGTTCACCCCTTGTTTGCTATTGCTGCCATGCAAGCCAACATTTAGGGAGTACAGTAACACTGGCTTGGGACTTCTTGGTCTCATTGTGTGTGTGTTGGGCTATTTATAGTGAGTCAGGCACCGAGCCAGATGTGTACCTTATTCACTTGTATCGCTCTGTCCTCCAGCTTCTCCACATGCCTGGCTTCCCCTCATTCTCAGCTCCTACAGAGAGCAGCTGTCACAAAACATTTTCACCCCGAATGACAAGGGAAAGGGGGGGACAGGAGGGACTTCATTGTGCTAGGACAGGAGATGGTCACGTCAGGGGGGAAGCCAGAGGGGGGAGTGACAACCTGGAATCACTACTGATTTACAGTGCTGTTATCTCATTACTCTCCCTGCATTGCCAGTTTGTTTTTCCCTTTGTCGGTGCAATTCTCCAACACGGAAATGATGGCTCTGTGCAGGCACTGAGCAAGAGCATGAGTGGAATGAAGAAGCACAATATAAGTTGTATAGTAAGTGAAAGTGTCAAGGGGGAAATTGTAGGATAAGTGTAAGCACAAGAAGGAAGAACTGAAGTGGCAAAGCTTGGCATATACAGTCCCACGGAGACTATAAATATGTGATGAGGCAGGAGCAATTTTAAAAGAAAAGAGGCACAATTAGGCCAAAATGGAGATGTATTAGATTGGATTGGGAAAGGCAGGGTGGAAGCTGCCTCAATCGGCATGTTAAAAGAAATGCAATGATTCTATTTTACGTAAAACTTGACAAATTAAAGGGAAGTACTTCTTGGCATTCATTCTCCAAGGGTCTGTAACTTCCCTGGAAAAAATCAACACAGTTAAATCAAAAGATATTCCCTCATTTTGTGTTTTGATGGCGCTGGTGGACAGTGCTAACACTTGGTACAAAATCTCCCGTAGGTGTTTAATTATTTTGAGCTCTGCTGACTGTGAAGCATATAATTCATATCATTTTCATTCTCATCAAAACAGTGAACCCGCGTGCCCTATAGACGGGGGGAGTTGTCATTCTGGGAAAGAGGGCTGCCATCGTGATAGAAACTTTTAATGATAGGATAATAATGATCGCGCAGAAAAACTTTGTACAGATTTGTAATGACACGTTCCTCTCGGGGGGCAAACCACACCAGTAAAATGTCTAGTTCAGCACAATAGAGCCACCAAATGCTTTCACTCCAGAGGCCATTGCATCAGCTGTTTCTTTGATGTGTCACCAAGAGCCACGTTGGGTAACAACTGCCATTATCGTGTCCTGTGGTTTTTTAATCAGGTACTAACAAAATGCTGATTTAACTCTAATTATTAGAGTTATCAATAATACTTATTAATGGCCCATTAATACTTATTAATGGGCCATTTTAACTCTAGTAGCCACCGCAGGTACTCCTGTACAGTTACACCTTGCTAGAAACCACTTTAAGCTGATGTGAGCTTTGGGAACCAGCCTGAACCATTGATATACAAGGCAGGACAGATCCATGCTTTCATGCCAATTACACCAAATTCCGAGACTCATCAAACCAGGCAATGTTTTTCCATGGTCCAATTTTGTTGAGCCTGTGCTTTAAGGCTGTGTTGTGCATTCAGCCATGCTCTTCTGTATACCTTAGTTATGACAAGTGGTTATGCTGTTGCTGTGCTTAACCTCAAAGCAGTCTGGCCAATCTTCTCGGGCATTTTCGTCCAGTGAAGTGCTGCTCGCTGGATATATCTCTTTAAAAGTCAACAGAGAGTAAAGAGCAATATAGAGCTGTATTATGTTTCTCTACTGATATCTCTAGAATCCCTGTTTGTTCTTATTCTGTAATAAATTCAGGTGTATTAACCCCACCCTTTACAAATACATTTATTATAAAGGCTATACGACAGTGTTTTTAAAGTTTTATATTGCATGTTGGTAATTGGGCTTAGTTTATCCATTTTGAGGAATAAAATAATCTATTCCAATGTTCCTATGCAAACAAATATCTCTCAACAATGAATTATTCAAATTTGTTGAATTTGATTTTCATGCCATCCATTAATGACAGAAGTGGAAAAAACATGCGACTGAGCGTTTCTGTGTCTGTGCTGGTCTAAAG